TCCCTGTGTCACACTCCCCCACATCACACACACACACACACACACACACACACACACACACACACAAAGACTTTATCACATGGCCCTCCTGAGGGCCATGGTTTTGTTTTTTTTGGGGGGGGGACAGATGAATTTTCCCCCACCCCACAAAGTCATCTCCATTAATCAACTTGGCATACTTCATCACAATTTCCTTTTCCTAATTTATTTATTTTATTTTTATTTATTTATTTATTATGCATACAACATTCTGCTTCCATGTGTATCTGCACACCAGAAGAGGGCACCAGGTCTCATAATGGATGGTTATGAGCCACCATGGGGTTGCTGGGAACTGAACTTAGGACCTCTGGAAGATCAGCTGGTGTTCTTAACCTCTGAGCCATCTCTCCAGGCCATGTTTTTACTTTTAATTATGAGAGCATGAGTATGTGTGTGTGTATCTGTGTGTGTGTGCAGATCCCTCTAGAGCTGGAGCGATAGGTAGATATGAGCTGTGTAATCTTGGTGTTGAGGACCCAAATCAGGTCTTCATGCTCTTAAGCTCTGAGCTACCTCTTCAGCCCTCTCTTTTTCAAAATCATTATTTATTTATTTATTTATTTATTTATTATTGAGGCAGTCTCTCTGTGTAGTCCTGAATGTTCTGAAACTTACTATGTAGACCAGGCTGGTCTCAAACTCACAGAGATTTGATTGCCTCTGCCTCCCAAGTACTGGGATTAGAGGCATGTGCCACCCCACCTGACTTTTTTTTTTTTTTTTTTTTTTTTTTTTTTTTGGTTTTTCAAGACATGGTTTCTCTGTGTAGCTTTTTTGGAGCCTATCCTGGCACTCACTGTGGAGACCAGGCTGGCTTCGAAGTCACAGAGATCCACCTGCCTCTGCCTCCCGAGTGCTGGGATTAGAGGCATGTGCCACCAATGCCGGGTCACCTGACTTATTTTTTTAAAAAACTTTATTTTTATTGCTTTAAACTATGTGTATGTATGTTTCAGTTACTGTTCTACTGCTGTGATAAAACACCATGACTGGGCTGGAGAAATGGCTCAGAGGTTAAGAACACTGGCTGCTCTTCCAGAGGTCCTGAGTTCAATTCCTAACAACCACATGGTGGCTCCAACTATCCGTTATGAGATCTGGTGCTCTATTCTGGTATACAGACCAGAACACTGTATACATAATAAATAAATCTTTTTTATAATAAGTCTTAAAAAAAAGAACACCATGGCCAAGGCAATTTATAAAATAAAGCATTTAATTTGGGGCTCATGGTTCCAGAGGGTGGAGTCCATGACCATCATGATGGGAGCATGGTGCTGGAGTAGTAGCCAAGAGTTTATATCAGATCCACAAGCAGAAGACAGATAGGGAGATAACTAGGAATGGCCTGGCTTTTGAAACCTTAGAACCCACCCCAGAGATATACTTCCTCTAACACGGCCACAATTCTTAGTTCCACTAACTGTGTAATGAAAAATACCATAATAGCCAAACTATGACAAGAATGCTCTCTAGCCCGATGCAACCTCACAGTTTCAACATAGTTTAAAAGTCTAAAGTCTCCACTGGATGGTGGTGGCCCACACCTTTTTAAGCCCAGCACTCAGGAGGCAGAGGCAGTCGGATCTCTGAGTTCAAAGCCAGCCAGGTCTACAGAGCAAGTTCCAGGACTGCTAGGACTACACAGAGAAACCCTGTCTTGAAATGCTGGACCAAAACCAGACAGAAAACCTAGCAGAGACAACTCCAAATCCTGTAACTCCATGTCTTATGGAATTACACATGACTCCATCTTTCCAACATTGCTCACTGAAACACATCTTTCTCTCCTAGGCTGTTCCACTCCCTGCCTGAAGCTCTTCTTGGCAGATATCCCACAGCTCTGGCACCTCCATCATCTTAGAGTCTCCAATGCAATCCAGGCTTCACTTTACAGCTTCTGGCCTCCATGCAGGGACTCCTTGTCACACACCTGGCCTCGGTGGTTTCCTTGACTGTGGAGGAAGAGTTTACAACCCCTTTACTCCTGTACCCTTCAAGACTCCTGTATCCCTCAAGACTCCTGTATCCTTCAAGAAAGAACCAGCTAAGGGGGTAGAAGTTCATACCTTTAATTTTAGCACTCCAGAGGCAGAGGCAGGCAAATCTCTGAGTTCAAAGCCAGCCTGGTCTACAGACTGAGTTCCAGGCAGGGATACACAGAAAAACCTTGTTTCAAAAATGACCCTCCTCCTTAAAAAAAGGAAGGAAAGAAAGAGCCATATGGCTGATGTTGCCATGTTAGGCTGCCTGTTTGGGATGAAACTTGCTTCATGCACTGGATTAAATTTGCATAAACTTCAATTGGTTGTTTCCCTTTGCTGTATAAACTTCATTTACAAATTGCAGAATTAGCTGAGTGGTGGTCTTGGCCTGAGGACATCACTCTCTTAATTCCATTTTGTATCAGGTTTCTCCTTTTGTCCTTCAGCACAAGCTTGGCTCTAACATTAAATTTCCTGGTGCTCTTTTTCTCAAGCTGTACAGTTTGTGTTTCTTTTTGCCCTACTTATTCTTTTTCAGTGCAGACCTGCATATCAGTGATCACTAATAACCAGTGACAAAGTCAGTATTAGGTTGTCTTGAAATCGCCTCTACCAACAACATTAGTTCAAAACTCTTCAATTTAGCCTCAGGTGGATTCTTAGAAAATTAAAAAGTGGCCGGGAGTTCCCAGCACTCAGGAGGAAGAGGCAGGCGGATCTCTGTGAGTTGGAGGCCAGCCTGGTCTCCAGAGTGAGTGCCAGGATAGGCTCCAAAGCTACACAGAGAAACCCTGTCTCAAAAAACCAAAAAAAAAAGAAAGAAAAGAAAAAATTAAAAAGTGGCTACATTCATTACCAAAATATCCCAAGAATAGGCATCTAGCCTAGTTGCTACTACTGTTTCTTTCTGAAGCCTTTTGAGCTGGGCCTCCATAGTCCACGCTGCTCTCAGTACTACTGACTGATGAGTACCAATTACAGCATTTAATCTGTCCAAAGTCGAAAAGTCTTCCATATTCCTCAAAAAACAGCATTGTAAGACCTGTCACAGCAATAACCTGTTTGCTGGTCCCAATTTACACCTTAGTTAATTTTAAATTTCAGTAATAAGGCCCTATGACCAAAGCAATTTATAGAAAAAGAGTTTAGTGGGGTGGAGGTGGCACACAACTTTAATCCCAGCACTCAGAAGGCAGAGGTAGGTGAATCTCTGTGAGTTTGAGTTTGAGGCCAGCCTGGCCTATGAAGAGAGTTCCAGGACAGCCAGAGCTTTTAAACAGGGAAAACCTGACTTTTTGTTTTGTTTTGTTTGTTTGTTTGTTTGTTTGTTTTTGAGACAGGGTTTCTCTGTGGCTTTGGAGGCTGTCCTCAAATTCTCTCTTGTAGACCAAACTGGTCTCAAACTGACAGAGAGCAGCCTGTCTCTCCTCCCAAGTGCTGGGACTAAAGGCATGCGCCACCTCCCCTTGGTGAAAACCTGCCTTAAAATAAAAAAAGAAAAAAGAAAAGAAATAAAAAGGATAAGAGTTTATTAAGAGTTTATTGGGGGGCTTAAAGTTCAGAGGGTGAGTCCATGACCATCATGGTGAGAAACATGACAGCAGGAAAGCAGGCATGGTGCTGGAGCAGAAGCCAATTGTTGCTTTATTTTTGAGACAAGGTCATGTTAGGTAGCCCAGGTTAGGTTGGGACTCATTAACCCAAGCTGGCCAACTCACATCCTTATGCCTCAGCCTTTCATATGCTGGGATTATAGGCATGTACCAACATACCCGATCTCAACGTGACTTGCATTTCAAGACTGTCACTAAAGCACAATACTTTTCATAGTTGAAACAAGTATGTGAGAACTGAGATAGCCTGGCCTGTAAAGGGACTTGCCACATCTGATAACCTGAGTTCTCCTTCCACACTGTGGAAGGAGAAAACCAGCTCTCAAAAGTCATTCTGTGTCCTCCACACATGCACTTGACATGAACATTCTCTCAAGCACACACAAACACACACACACACACACACACACACACACACACACACACACACCCCACATGTATAGTAACTATAAAATTTATACATAAAAGTCTATACATGTTCAGTACAGAAGGCAGTACACAAGGCAGGCAGATCCTTGTGAGTTCGAGACCAGCTTGGTCTACAAGAGCTAGTTCCAGGACAGCTTCCAAAGCCACCTGTCTCGAAAAACAAAAACAAAGCAAAATAAAACCAAAAACCAAAACAAAACAAAAAAATAGATAAAGGCTATAAAGAGAATGGTACAAGCAGGTTGGTAGTTAATGTTTGGCTCAGTCTGCTCACCAATGTTCCCTGTGGACATTTCCTCACAGGGTTTCAGGGATAGCATGGGCCTGGTAGTACATGCCTATCATCTAGCAATCAGCTAACTAGAAGGCTAAGGAAGATCGCTGAGAATTCAAGGATAGCCTGGTTTGCATAGCAAGACTTGTCTCAACAAAATTTTTGTGGCATTATTATTATTATTATTATTATTATTATTATTATTATTA